ACCCTTCCAAAGATCGGATTGACTTGAAATCTAGTAGTATAATGAAAATACGACGACAATGGCGTGATTGTAGCATGTAACCACGTATACGCACACGCCTGCATAGCAAATATCAATTAATATTTGCGTGTAGTAAAACCTTATGCGTTTTTGGTAACAAATGTGTGCGCGTAAAAGTCAGCTACGCTAGTTCTCGAAGGAATTGCTTTAAATGCCGTTTCCATATACTTCGTGGTTAACCGTAATTATAGCAAGTATATAGCTATGCCTAGTTCAATATTCCGTTAATTGTGAAACATAATGTCGATATCAATTAAATGTTACATCCCTATCTGTAGATTGTCAACTTTTTACTTTTGTTCCAAGAAGTTTATGTTCACAGGTTTTTTAGCTTTTATGTGACTACTAATAACAATTACTAATATAAATTTGAATTGTAATTTTTTTGTAAGTTCATATATACACACACTGTATTTAGAATTATGTTTATGAAAAATATACAGAGGAGACATATTTTAAAGTTTTTCATTTTAATTCAATATAGATAATCAAATCCGGCTATTCTTGTTAAAATGTATGTGAATAAAAATTGATCTGAATACTAGTAGACTAACTGTCAAAATAAGAATAAAGAAGGCAATAACGCAATTAACGTAAAGTAATCATTAGAACGTCGTAACATTCACAATTCAGGAATTTTTAGCAAAATTTTATCTGCTTTCAAACTCAACAACAACTACGTAACTATTAAAATTTTTGTGAAAACTGGTAATCCTACAAAGGTCATTTTACTCCGTCTTCAAAAAAGACCGAATAGAGAGCATGATTTCCCAAAGTGGAAAGTCCTAGGGGCCTCGGAAGCAATTGAGGCGTTGATGCTGTCCAGAGAGTGCTACCGCAATTGAAAAAAATCCAGAATTATTTATATAAACTACACTAGCCCCCGTAGCATGGCTACGCATGATAGTCATTGTCATCATAGTGACGATAGTAGAAAATTGAAATAGGCGCGCGCTATTGGCTGTCTCAATCAGATCTAATTTAGATAGCCAACAGGGCGCGCTTATTTCTTTTTCATCGCGCGCGTCGGGACTATCATGCGTGGCCATTGTATACATATATATAAAATTTTTTACTTGTGGTTTTTTTGTGGTAAGTTAATTAAAAAAATATGTGTTTTCAATTCGTTTTCATGGTGGTGGTTTAGAGGATGGAAAAAAATAAGGGAATGGTGGGCGTTGAATTTTTTTTATTTTTCTTAAAAGTTCGCTTTACGTATTTCATTTTCAGAATGTACATATCTTCTACATACATACTACGTACATATCTCTAGCCAGCTGGTGGTAACTGTAAAGGTATCTCACAAGGTGAAGAAAATACTTTCATAGATTTCTCACAGATGGCGCTACGGCAAATAAGTCGTTAAAACCAAAAACAAAGATCCGATAACAAGCACATAGAAAAATTCGTGAGCTTCCCTGGTTCGTTCCGTGGCTTAGTGGCATAGCGTATGTCACGGTTTGCTAGGAGCCGTCGATTCGAATCCGGCCTGATCGAAGGATTTTTTCTCAATGTTCGATCTTTGTACTAATAACAAACTAGTGGTGTAATTTCACAAAAAAATAATTGAATATCACCGTGGTGAAACAACCTCATACAAACTTAATGTAGATATCTGTTCATATGTCATGTAAACCATTATGAATTATTCAAAAATACTTTGTGGAATGCAATACCTCAGTTGCATTCCACAGTTTGCATTTTTTAGTTTACTTAGAATAGAATTTGTATATTGTGCCGTATATTTTGCCTAGGTCACGTAATAAGAACGAAAAACATAATATTTATCGCGAATGTATTTGACATATATAATTACTCATAAAGAAATCATGACTAAAGTTCAATAATTTATTTGAATTATTTGAAAATGCCCTGGGATACCATAAAAGTGGAATCCAAACAAACGACGTAAGAGAAAAGGTAAACAAAGGGATGTGTTCGTCTTTGTTTTATAACACGGTGCTAGTTACCATTTTCATTAAAGAGATTAACATTCTTACACTAATGTCACAGTACATTTACGAATATGTTATTTATGTTAAGTTATTTATTTCTAAATTAATTCGTTTTAGTCATTGACTTACAACTACATGGACGTCGGGTCCGCGCTAAAAAGTGTCCGAACTTATAGGGCGTTAAAATCGTATACAGAGCGTCATTCACGCTCTAGTCTTCGTTTGTTCGACTGACAGCGAAGCAAGCAAAATTAGACAGTACTGCGATGACATTACAATTTAAATTCAACGTTTTAGCTTTTTCATATTCCTTGACATGTCACTACTTTTAAATTGGTTGACTTGGGACATTTTTTTCGTGGTTTTTGTATTAGACCCGTCGTCCATTTATTTGTAAGTCAATGGTTTTAGTCTTTAGTTTTAGCCTGTTTTCAGGATTTTCTATGATCGGATAAAGTAAAGCGATTAAAAAAATACAGAAACTTTCAGACATCGAAACCGCTAGATTGGTTTACTTCAGCTACTTTTACAGTCTAATGACATATGGCATTTTGCTTTGGAGTAATGAAGCCGATATCAATAGAATCTTTGTCTTGCAGAAACGTGCGGTTGGGGCAATTTACAATCTGTGCCCCAGTTGATAGTATCTTTGAGAGTTAAGTTTAAAGAAATTGACGTTCTTACATTAGCGTCACAGTACATTTACGAAAAGGTTATTTATACTAAGAAGAATAGTAATTTCTTTATAAAAAAATAGTGACAGACATAACATTGCTATGAGGAATAAAAATAAACGTGCTGTTCTTGACAGTCATCTTCATAAAGTCTCAAATTCATTTTAGGGGCAATGTATACGCTTCTACCTATAATAAGATTCCGCTTGATATTCAAAATTTACCATTTACGATCCTTAAAACTCTAGAGAAACCAAAACTTTATACTAAAGGGTATTATTATACAGCTTCTGCGTACTTGGATGACAAAAATCCGTGGTAGAGACCCGTTTAGCCCATTCAGGTGTTCTCGATCAAAGGTGTTTAAATTAAATATTGTAATGATAAATGTATTCAAAAGTATATTTACAAAGAGCAACCCCTAGCGATTCTTGTTAATTATCTGCCTTACGAATGAGCAGTAGAGTTTTCAAGTGTAATTTGCTTACCTATGATATAAAGATTATTTGACCTTTTCAACCTATTTCTGCCTAATATCGTTGGCGGAAAAGGGAGACACGAAATTTTACGTATACTCGTAATTCCATACTTATCACGAATTTAGATGGATAAAAGCTTTTTTAGACGAAAAAGTGGCAACTCCGCACAATGGATTCTCAGTACTAAGGATGACTTGCTACACAAGTAACGATACCATTGCTCTTTTGCGTGATCGTGTGGTTTCTAGAAGAGGTGATCACAATTGGCCGACGAGATCTTGTGATTTAACACATTTGGACTTTTTTATTTGGGGCTACGTGAAAGATAAGGTCTATGTCAATGGCCCACAATCGATTTAAGACCTCAAAGATGTACGAATTGGTGATGGCAAATTTCATGAAACGAATATGGTGCTGCAAGCGCATACCCTCCTCTTTAAAATTAAATAAACATCCGATAATTTCGCTTAAAAATACTCGCTTTTTTACACAGCAAAATGGAACTCCTTATTGGAAGACCCTTTACTAAGTGAGGGGAGCACAAAGATCTGAGGGGCACTGCCACTGCGCCCGACACCCAGTGATATTTATTGACAAATCCTTTGTGCATCAGCACACTTACCCTTCTAAACATGTTCTAAACCGAAACGCTGTAATGTTCACATTACTGCTTGGCGGCAGAAATAGGTAAGGTGGAAGTACTTCCCTGGACGAACTCATTCTCAAGAAGTTGTACTGTTACTACAAATTTAGTTAGTAGAGCGAGGAGGAGTATTAGGCTCGTACACAAATTAAAAATTAATCTTATAGAATTGATAATAATCATTTTAATATTTCTTAATTTTAGATATTTTTTTAATTTTTACCTGTGTGTAAATAGGTAACGCACACTGTAAAGTGTGCGTTCTTTCTTAGTAAGTTAGATTAGGTTAATATCTTTAAGTAAATATACATAGAACTTTAGAATAATAACGCATAGAAACCTAGTTCGCACACGCTAAGTGAGGCAAATTGAAGCGCGCCCAATGGGCCTACACGAGCGGACGGGCCTTCAATGCTCAAGGTCAACTTGCACCGCGAACAGATCAACAATTTAAGCTAAAAATGACGAAATGTGCGGTAAATGAGTGTAAAAATACGTCAGACAAACATAAAATAGATACTAACATCACATTCCACAAGGAAGTAACGCGTTTCAACTCGTATTTTTATATAAATTTTCACTAAAACCGAAAATTAACCTACTACTAAAACTAACCTACATGAATTTGATTTTTGCCTCACTTATGACAGTTCGTTTGATATGAAACTATCATTCTATGCGTTAAAATCTTATTCTTAAGCATAGAACAAGTTTACTACAAGAGCTAGGCAACAACAAATGATAGGGTCCCAGCGACAATCAAGAGAAAATAGAACGTTATATCAAATGTCAATCCTTAAGCCTTTGTAACCTTATTGTAGGAGTAGATTCAAGTTCCAAAAGAAAGTATCAAATACGTAAAAGAGTGTAGTATGCTAATATATAAAAATCATTTATTCCTAGAAAAAACACGTAATAATATGAACTTTTTGTTGTAAAGAGAATGATGGTGTGTCAACTTATGTCTCAGGGTGACGGGCGCAGTGGGAGTGCCCTTCTATTTAAAGCTCTGAGTAGCACTGCAACTATTATCGACAGGCGTGTCGCTTTCCACCGTGTAAAACATAAAAACTAACGCATTTGCATTTTCGCAACTTTCGAGTTCTTTTTTTTATCATATCTAGTGACGGGACGAGACTCGAGGTAAGATTAATTTAATAAATGCTGCATATGAACAAGAATTTCTCACCTGATATGCAATCCCATCCGGACGTAAAGGCAGAGGATGAGCAGCGCAGGCACGAAGAAGAAAAAAATGCTGCTCAACTCTAGCAGAGGTGACGGAGCCATGAGCGCGCAGAACGCTGACTCCAGGGACACGTTGCCAGAGTCTGAAAAAAAAGAGAATAAATGTATTAATAAAGCATGAGACTAGACATGTAATAATGGCGACTAGGCTGCATGGTATATGGACCTTTGCCTTTCCGCAACGAAAAAGAATAGAAGAGAAGCAT